GCAGAAATGTAACAATACCACTTCCGATTCTGAAGAGATTGATACATGTATTTGTACCAATTTAAAGCATAAATACTTCTAGACGGGTATCGAATCCTATTTGAAAAAGTAATTATACTTCATGTTCGAAAAAGTATCTATTCTTAGTCTGGATACTTGAAATAATGGATTTGACGTAAAACTCCTATTATGCAACTTCCGGTACAGACAGGAAAGACCAAACGGTGGCCGTTGTGTTTATTCAACAGCGAATCGATTAAGTAACACAAGGGCAGACTAGCCTTGGACAAAAATAAACCCAAAAACATTCCGATTTTCTGACAAAACAACTGGGCGCTTAATCTGGTCAATTTTAATTTTAGTAGTACACTGTACCAACAAGGTATTTATTTATTTTACGTTACAATTATTTCTAAAAACACGCTTTAGATGTTGTAGCTATGACAGGCCTTATCTTCTAAGCGTTATTGGCATATCGGATCATATTATTTGTCCTTTTCACATTAAGTCTAGTTGTGATGCACAGATGGCTAATACATTTCTCAAGTGTCACCCATCCACAGTATACCGTATTCTTGCAATAATGAATGCAATTCATTGCCGCTTGCCATTACTCAGTAGCAGAGTTCAGTCTATTCTCAATTCATCTCGTCTTACTTTATGACAAAAGCTAAGATAGGTCTTTTCCCTGGAGTACTGTTTATTAATGGTTAAGGAAATTTTATCATAAAATCGTATTTAATAATTAACACAAAGAAAGAACTTAAGATACGAAATGCATTAAAGTACCAGTCTAAAGAGTACTAAAGTCTGCCATAATTCTTGAACATATTTGATCTATTTGAACTCTTTTGAAAAGAGGTAATATTGTGCATCATAGTTCACCTCCTTAACACATTTTTTTTCCAATACAAAAGGCTGACCTCGGCTATACTTGATTCCCACATGGTACATTGTGCACAGAGAGCTAGTCATGTAGCTATTGTTAGGAAGAAGACCCAGGAGTAAGATTAATTGACCTTAATTTAGTTTTATGTTATGATCTTCTCACTCATGGTCACATGTGTGGACACCATTGTTCATAATAGGAGCCAAAACATGGCTCCTACTCTCCCTGTCCAGTTGTTTTCTGTGGTATTTTATTGTTTGTTGTTTGTATTATTGACATAAAGGCCAATTCATTTGGAACCACCTCCAGTTGTTCTTTGTTCCGGTTGAATAACTACAAACATACGTTCATTATTAGGAATATCTTTTTAAGCAAATCTTGACTTTATTACCATAAACATTACTCTCGTAGATGGTTATCAGAACTGCTGAGCTTGTAATCAACATTGCATGTATGTCACGCAAAAACAAAACGTAAACGGACTTCCACGAAAACATGTCTTTTAAAATGTATTGATGACAGGACAGACTTTTATCAATAGCTGTAACCAAGCCACTTGATGTTATCTGGGATACCGCCATCCCCCTTTATATGAGTGAGCGCCTGTTCTCCTTTTGTACGGAGATGTAACAGTCTGTCACATTTGTCGGGAGACAGGTCGGGTTATTAAAGAAAGGGGAAAACCTTTACCATCTTTGTATTCGTTAGGAACAACGAGCATCAGAGAAATAGATACGAAAATTACACCCCTGTTGGTGAAATAGACAGAGAAAGGATAGAGACGAAAATTACAATTCTAGAACGACAGAATGAGTAGCTTCGAAACAAGGACGTAAATCACAGAGTGAAGGACAGAAAGGCAAAATAAATATCAGGAAGAAGTACATGAATGATATGTCAGATATGTTGCTAATATTTAAAGTCCTATGGTGCCCACATTATACTAGTGAGATACGATGGAAAGCAACTCTAACCAACATAATCACTATGAAATTGACACTATAAATGACCTGGGGTCGAATTACATGTACATGTATATTTCAATTCGCATTTTATGAATTATATGTTCTCTTGGTGTTTCTCATGAAATCCATTTTTACTGGCTTTAACTACATTTTCATTGTTGTTATTCAAAGTTTCGCAAATGAAAAACGATGTTTTACGCTGCACTCTCTGTTGCGGTGTAAGGATTTAAGTGCGATAAAGGGTTAAAGGTCTACATTCGTAGTTAGCACATAATGACACGTTAGTCATATATTCATCCGCCGTATTATGACACAGACTGTCGAAATTGTAATAAATTCTGATTTTTACATCCCATTTTCACATACGACAGTGCTAAACGCTAGTCATAGCTGAACTAGTATTACAGGCAAGAAAATCGACCTGTTTAACTATAAATAACTCTCAAATTTAAAATCTAAACTGACAATTTGAAAAATCTGTTTAATCCCAAGGGGTCAATTCTGAGAAAATTCTGTCGTAATTTCATTCTGAGCGAATGCAAACTGTCAATCTGTTTAACTGGAAGACTAGAATCTCAGCGCGACAGGTTTTAAGTATTTCGAAAAGATAGCGTGATATCCGCCAACAATCCAGTATGGCCTTTCGAGAACGTTCACTTCTTGAGCAATTACAAGAGTTTTATCTCAATCACATTTAATGAAAATTAATTGCCAATTATGCTGCATTTCGTTTCGAGAAACCATACCTCAGCGCCAATGTCTTGATAATTAGATAGTATATGATGTGTTCCGCTGCTCGACTAGTTGTGCCTGGTACGCAGTCATTGACTATATTTTGCGTTGAAATGATCACTTCTATATTATTTTATCAGATTTTTGCGAAATAGTTTACTTTCAAAAATTGAATTTTCAATAATTTAACAATGAAGCGAATGTACAGACAATAGCGCCCATACCAATCACAGTCAATTCTCCATCAGAAAGATAGCAGTTTGTCTATTTTTTATTGTAAGTAAATCGAATTGTACAAATTCTATTGCTTTTCCACTGTTAAAGAATGTCAATATATATATTTTAACCAATTTTCCTCTTCCGCCTTAATTAAATCTCGGCCAATGAAAACCGACCACGCGATACATAGCCCTGACGTATATAACGGTATCTCTGCTCCAGACCTATCCAAGTTGTGCTCTGGTTACATGCATATCGGTTGTTACATTGTATCTAATCACAATTAATTTGACAATATACCACAATTTGACATGTAGGAAATTTAATTGAATCCCCCATGAGGAAACGATATCACTCCAATACGAATTAGAACGTTTCTTATCACACCTCCCCCGGGGTGAAATCGGGAGTTGTTGTAGCCGATTGTGTTGGTTTCGTGGTGATTCGGGTGATATATGTCTCAGAAACTAACTGTCAAATTTCATCTGGAACACCTCCACTAGGTCGTTATAAATGGATGCCGCGAACTAACTGTATTTTCTATACTCCTCTAACCAGCTATGGTACACCACATCAAGGGCATATAATAGGAATATAATTATATAATTATTGTACATCGATGACCAAGAGTGACTTACACATTCGGTACTTTAGGGACATCTCTGAAAAAAAACTGTTTGACTGCAAAACTCCAAGTTCTGTCTGGACTCCAGTAAAAGCGTTCTACTTCCGGTTCTTTATATACAATTGTTTTAATTTAGATTACTGCGGAGTTAATAGAACAGCTAGGGAGAGAAAGCTACAGTTTAAGTATAACCCATGATCAGCGGGGCCCCCTCACATAAGTCGCCTCTCATGATGACTTACAGTATTATATAACTTTGCATGCATCCCATATACGGTACAAATCCTGAATTTACTGCCAACATATCTGGTATTTTTACAAGGTCACATCAAATTCTGCATTGAGTTGTACTATGAAAATATCTACACATCGTGCCACTGAGTGTTTCCCAGAATACGCTTGGCATCATATAATCAACTTTATTCAAATGTTTGAGCGTGGGATTCAAGCCTCGAAAACCACAACCGGAAGTCACTATTGCGTCCACCCCACTTTCCTGCTTACTATTTATCACGCCAGTCCGAAGTTATGACTTGCACAATAACAAGTCATGTGATTTCGTCGAAGCGTGTTCTTATAATACTGCTAACCGTCGCAAGGTCACAATTATAAATAAAATGAAACACAACCTCCCCTACCCACGGAGAGTTACGAAATAACTACAAGTTTCACTGCTTTAAAATTTCCTCGTTTGTTCATGGGGTAGGTAGTAGGTATTTTTCAATAAGATTAATTCAACTCTTGCAGGTTGTAGATTCTATATTGGTTAAAGTATCATTTCCCTAGAAAAGAGTATAATCGAATAGGTTCCATCTCATACTCTCCCATACACTTCAACATACACCGTTCGGATAGTTCTCAGGACCCTCTGCACCTGTCATGCACATTTATTATCTCATAGCCTACTTTTCTGTCTCGGCGTCAGAAAATTACATGCAGGAATGTCCCTACATTCCAGATAATTTGAATAAACTTGTTCGATTTTTTATTCAATATTTACGTTCCTGTTACATAACAATCTCTTCGTAGGTTTGTCGTGTACATCAACCATTTGTTGTCATACAATTACATGTTCTGACGGGGTCAGTTTCGGGAGGAAAACAAAATAAACGCACCGAGTGACGCTAATCCGTCGCTGTTAGAACTAACTCTACATGTGTGTGTGTGGGAAAGTGGGAGGCCGAAGACTGAATAGGTGAAAGGGCCGTGGGCGGCAGGGGTTTAGGGGGAATGGGATAGAGACAGAGTGAGAGAGCTAAGGTTGTAAACATGTAAAATAGGTGAAAGGGGACATGGGTGGAGGAGGCTAAGGGGGAAATGGGATAAAGACAGGTTAGGGAGCTAAGGTTGTAAACATACAAAATAGGTGAAAGGGGACATGGGTGGCCGGAGGGACAGGATATATTGAAGTGGGGCGGAATTTAGGAAATAAGGACTGTACACATGTGAAATATAGGAAATATAGGTGAAAACGTCTGTTGGAGGTTGGGGGGGGGGAGTTAGGCCCGGGATGGGGGTAGGAGTCTGGATAGCTTATCAAAAATCAAGTTACTAAATAAAGGCTACTTACCCACTGAGGGTCTGATTTCCTCGGTAAGGAGTTGTTTTCCTCGAAATTATTACAATTGGCCATTGATCTGTGATTACTAGAACTGGAATCAGCCTGACAAAAAAATGACAATAATTTTACACCTTGATAGGATCAATATTCTAATTAATTGTACGTAGAAAACATCGAGTTAAAAACTATTAAGATGTAACATTTCCGAGTTAATCAGTGTTCACTCTTTTTTTTTTCTTATTAGGTTGATAAAATTAAGTATCAACCTCCTTTCGGGTTAGAGATTGTTTTATACACCGTCCTCAAGGTGTAGAATAAGATACAGTAATTAATTTTCATGGCTGAGTGATTTTCTCATTTCGAAAGAAAATGTTGTAGAACTAATCGAGAGAGATCATGTCCTGAATGCTAATATCGATTTTTTAAACATCCTGGTGAAGGTAAAATAGCTATATATAGCCTTAAGTCCAGCTGGTACAGGTGATAGGCAAGTCAACTGTGACGTCATGCTAATTCTAATTGATGTATGTCTTAGATATTAGCTACAACCAAGTGCGCCATATGGCATATAGGCGTGGACATCACATACCAGAGAATATACGAGTATTATATACTCATTCCTTTCAATGATATTCTAAAAATAAGTGCTCGCCTTAATATAAAAATACTTTTAATTTGTTATAAATGTTTTACAAATCTTCCTTTTATCTCACTAGCTTTTACTCTTACGTCTTCATGAGATTTTATCTATCATTTCAAATACTATTTATTAATTCATCTTCTCGAGAACTCGTCCGCTGAAAGACCGAAAAGTCATAAGATGGACGTATTAGCCGTTAAATAAGTAGATAAATGAATCTGGAGTTCATTTATTTTTCCGAAATCTAACGTCTGGGTAGCTTTTGTCAGAATAAATAATTTACTCACCCACAAAAACCTGTATTTCTTTACGTTTTCAAATGTCTTAACGTAAAGTCTCCTAACCTCCGACTTTCATTCTATTCCTTTCCTTTACCTTTTAAATTTAAACCGATTTAAAGGTATTTTGGTATTAAGATATTGTGTAATAAATACCCTTCCCCAAAATTCTTTATCAATTAAAGAGCTGGAGGACCGGATCCCACCCTATTTCATCATAACTGACGGCTGTCGCAGGTAAAAACACCGTTTCCGGTTACAACAACATATTTCATTTCATATAAAAAGGATCGTATCTTTTTTTTTCTATCTTTTCTAGCGTATTACATGTACATGTATCATGGTTTTAAATGCACACATCATTCGTTTTGGTTCCATTCAAATGCAACAGTTAGACAAAACTTTTCACTTAGCTGACATTAAAAGGTTTTTGCCGACTTTACTACAACAATGCTTGGATCGGAACTTATATCCCTTTAGATTGGGTGTTAAATCACATATTTATACGCCTATATGGCACCCTACCCTTATAAGGAAATAAAACGAGGGACACTTTTAAAAGAGCAGGGAAAACACAATAATACCTAAAACACATACACACAACAGGGTTAGAAGTAAGATGGCAACTGAATCAAGGGGTATTGTTTCGTGGGACAATAGTCAGTTTACCATCGAATACATAGTTTGTCTCATTCAAATACCATGTCATTTAATTAATAACTCGTTACGTAAATCGTTTGTTTGCACGTATTGTCTATTTTCAAACCTCTCACTCACCCACGTACACGTAGACTGTATAACTGCCATACATGTAGCCTTTAATTCTGTGTCAACGCCCCATTAAATCGTAATATGATCACGTGGGCCTGGAGTGTGTAAGGGCGCTGCAGTGTTACCCACTTACAAACAGTCCCTGTGATAACAGTACAATGTTCACCACACTCCCTCTAACATGGCCGACATTTTTTTTTGTTTACAAAAATTTTATCCATATATAATTTCGTTTTAAACTAGAATTACATCGATAACAGAAACGGATGACATTAAAGAAGAGAATTATTCAAAACACTTTTTTTAACATTTACATATTTTTTTGTTTACAAACTATAAACATGTTATTTAACTGAATTACATAAACTTAAAACCAAATACAGAGTACATTCTACAATAATATATAGAAAAAAAGATTTTACAAAGCGCAATTTTATTCACAAACTAATTAACGTAATCGTGTACAACATCTTACTTTCTACCATTATTATGAGTAAAATATATTTAATTCGAACCCATTTACATATAACGAAATATTCTGTATACTATGAAACTACCTGATCTAAGCCCCGGATATACTGACTTATATTTCACATCTTCCGTTATACTCTCATATACAAAAATATTTTTTTTTATATAAAAATCGTTTACTACAGAAATTCGAATAAGACAAGTTTCATATGATTATATTTCAACATCGCATGAGAAATTCTGAAATATTACTTATATAGAAAAAGGACTCCATAAGTATACCATATATGAAAAACTTTGTTATATAGATAAGTTTGAAAACGTTAGTACATACAACTCTCTCTAAAAATAAACAGGACAGGGGATAATGAAAAAGAAAACGTGACGGCTTTCCTATAAATATGAAAATAACAATAATCACCAACTCAACAAGTTATTGGAAACACCTGTGATATTGTAAACGTCATGTGTAAGAAATAATCCGTATATATTTATCTGTCACATAGTTAACAAGGACACATACTTACTTCGATTAATTCTGGCATCTTAGGTGATTCCATAGTTGTTTGGTTGTTCAATGAGAACAGATGGTGTGGTTATAGGACAGAGTTCTCGGATACATTGCTGGCTAATAATCCAATATGGGACATCTGTAAAATCCGGATAACTATTTCAACACAACGATGTCGTCATAACGTCCCGAAATTTCACAAGAAATGAACACACAATGCACGTGCTGTTTCCCTTAACCACTTAAGAAGTAAATCCCAACCACGAAGTAGTATATATTTGTAAATATTATCTCCCGGAGGAAATCTTCTGACCACTCACAGCAGTGCTACGTAAATACGAGATCAACTCTCTCTCACAGCTTTATCACCGTATTCAACCACTGGAGCTAAAATGCTGAAGACGTGACCTTCTTGTTTTTAATCTCTAGCCTTCGTCGAGCAGTCTGCCTGTGGAGTTGAAACCCTGGGAGCTGACGTATCAAATGACATCTCCATGTGGACATGTGTTAGACGGGAGCACACTCTCCAGCACTTGTAGACTTCATTCACAACAAACAACGAGAATTATATAGCTGAACGCGTGTGTAAAACGAATTCCCGCGGATTTCAATACCTAATATTAGTTTTCACAAGACATGACAAATTCTTCGAATATATAAATACCGTTTATAGTTGAGTGTCACACAGGGCTTTAAAATCTCCCCAGTAACGATTTTTAAATCTCCTCAACAAAGAAATCGAATATTCCGTTAGTTTGGGGAGTGTTCTAGTGTTTAGCACCGGTGACTTGCCGCGTATCCCGGGTGCCCTTTGTTGGGTCACGATACGCTTGTATTCACAAGCCCCTATTCGATACAACTTCCATTGTTTGTTCAATGTCAACGATATTCGTTCTTTACATCCGTTGTATTGTAAAACGCTTTTTCCTCAATAAAATCATACAGCTATTTTTTAAATGTAGAAAAGTTCGCACTTCCGGTCCTCCAGCCGTAGTTTACTTTAGTAAACATGCAGTATACTGTTGGAGTGTTTCAAAGTAGAAAATCACTGTTCCTCAGCAGCTGAAATATAATTCGATAAACTCATTATTGTAGCAAGCGTCATCAAAATTGCCTCATATTATGCGTAAATTACAGAAAGGCCTAGGCTGCCGCCAGCTTTTACGACCCGTAACTCGGTTGTAAAAGTATAGTCAGCTTTACCTCTTTTAAATATATAATAATAAATCACCGAAAATGTTTATAAAACACCATAATCAATTAATAACACACTAAATGTATCTAACATTGATAAACACGGATTAGGAAAAATTCAAAAGTAAAATCGTTTGGATATTTTATGATGTTTTAAAATTTGTGCTCATTCTTAATCTTAAATAAAAGCTGCTTAACCTTTAAAATATTAGGCATCTGTTTAGAAAATTACCTTCCGCTTAATATCCACCGACATTTGAGTGTAAATTCATGGAAATCTACCTTATACCTGAGAGTAGAAACTAAACTGTGAATTGGCCATAACGTTAACATATCGGGAAATATCCGTCATAGAGTTCTCAGATTATAGTTTTGACAAGAGGATAATAACTGGAGGAGAGAGGCAGTTTAAGTCGTTATCATTATATGTACGCGATATAATTACAATAAAAGCACGTACACGCACCTGGGAACTGACACGTGGAAAGTTATGACGTAATACTTGTTGACTCCAATACCCCCACCCCATCCACCCCACCCCACCTCACCCCACCTCACCCTACCCCCTGAAAACATAGAAATAAATAAGAGAAGGGGAAAACGTCAAATGTAACGTACCATTTGAACGTACAGAATCAATTTGAATAGCCATGCTATCGCAAATTTTAAACAAAATATTTACAGGATGAGAATAATTTTCACATGAATTGATCGAGACAGTCAGGAGTAGATATTGTTTCATAGAGAGCAGAGCATTTCGTTGATAAAAAGTAACACCAAGTTTAACCTTACTAAGGTCTTTTTCAGAATATTTCCAGACGGATGTTAGTAAGTCGATAGAACGTCAGAATAATTCCAGACGGATGTCATTAAGTCGAAAGAACATCAGAATATTGCCAGACGGATGTCATTAAGTCGAAAGAACGTCAGAATATTGCCAGACGGATGTCATTAAGTCGAAAGAACGTCATTAAGTCGATAGAATGTCAGAATATTTCCAGACAGATGTCAAATTACCAAACTTCATCACAACACCTACCACCAAACCAAGTCACTGTCATTACCTACAAACTACAAAACCTATCACCAAACCAAGTCACTGCCATCACCTACAAACTACAACACCTACCACCAAACCAAGTCACTGCCATCGCCTACAAACTACAGCACCTACCACAAAAGCAAGTCACTAGCATCACCTACAAACTACAACACCTACCAAAAAACCAAGTCACTATCATCATCTACAAACTACAACACCTACCATCAAACCAAGTCACTACCATCACCTACAAACTACAGCACCTACCACAAAACCAAGTCACTACCATCACCTACAAACTACAACACCTACCACCAAACCAAGTCACTACCATCAACTACAAACTACAACACCTACCACCAAACCAAGTCACTGCCATCAACTACAAACTATAACACCTACCACCAAACCAAGTCACTACCATCACCTACAAACTACAACACCTACCACCAAACCAAGTCACTGTCATCAACTACAAACTACAGCACCTACCACCAAACCAAGTCACTGTCATCACCTACAAACTACAACACCTACCTACCACCAAACCAAGTCACTACCATCACTACAAACTACAACACCTACCACACCAAGTCACTGCCATCAGTCACTACATCACCTACAAACTACAACACCTACCACCAAACCAAGTCACTGTCATCACCTACAAACTACAACACCTACCACCAAACCAAGTCACTGTCATCACCTACAAACTACAACACCTACCACAAAACCAAGTCACTACCATCAACTACAAACTACAACACCTACCACCAAACCAAGTTACTACCATCACCTACAAACTACAACACCTACCACCAAACCAAGTCACTGTCATCACCTACAAACTACAACACCTACCACAAAACCAAGTCACTACCATCAACTACAAACTACAACACCTACCACCAAACCAAGTCACTGCCATCAACTACAACACCTACCACCAAACCAAGTCACTGTCATCATCTACAAACTACAACACCTACCACCAAACCAAGTCACTGCCATCACCTACAACACCTACCACCAAACCAAGTCACTGCCATCAACTACAACACCTACCACCAAACCAAGTCACTATCATCATCTACAAACTATAACACCTACCACCAAACCAAGTCACTATCATCATCTACAAACTATAACACCTACCACCAAACCAAGTCACTATCATCATCTACAAACTATAGCACCTATCACCAAACCAAGTCACTGTCATCACCTACAAACTACAACACCTACCAACAAACCAAGTCACTGCCATCAACTACAACACCTACCACCAAACCAAGTCATTGTCATCACCTACAAACTATAACACCTACCACCAAACCAAGTCACTGCCATCGCCTACAACACCTACCACCAAACCAAGTCACTGTCATCACCTACAACACCTACCACCAAACCAAGTCACTGCTATCACCTACAACACCTACCACCAAACCAAGTCACTGCTATCACCTACAACACCTACCACCAAACCAAGTCACTGCCATCACCTACAAACTACAACACCTACCACCAAACCAAGTCACTGTCATCACCTACAAACTACAACACCTACCACCAAACCAAGTCACTGCCATCATCTACAAACTACAACACCTACCACCAAACCAAGTCACTGCCATCACCTACAAACTACAACACCTACCACCAAACCAAGTCACTGCCATCACCTACAAACTACAACACCTACCACCAAACCAAGTCACTGTCATCACCTACAAACTACAACACCTACCACCAAACCAAGTCACTGCCATCACCTACAAACTACAACACCTACCACCAAACCAAGTCACTGCCATCACCTACAAACTACAACACCTACCACCAAACCAAGTCACTATCATCACCTACAAACTACAACACCTACCACCAAACCAAGTCACTGCCATCACCTACAAACTACAACACCTACCACCAAACCAAGTCACTATCATCACCTACAAACTACAACACCTACCACCAAACCAAGTCACTGCCATCACCTACAAACTACAACACCTACCACCAAACCAAGTCACTATCATTATCTACAAACTACAACACCTACCACCAAACTAAGTCACTACCATCACCAAAATATACAAGCCCTTCCACCAAACCAAGTCATTGGCCATTAATCAACGTTATATGAAACAATGTCGCCATTTCGAAATTCTTTCCTATACTTATTACGGTGGAAACAGTTGGTCTTCTCCAGCAGTTATAGTACGTACAGGTAATTACCTTAGATTGTTCAGGTAACACTGTTGTAATTAGTGTTCGTATTCACCTGATGCGGATGCTGCACAGGTGTGTCCTGTAGAGAATTACATTGTACTTGTAGTCTGAATACATCTGTGCCACCTGAAAATTTTACTTAATACAGCAGGAAAGTTGAGGATTTATATTCATTGTACATTTTATTGAAATGAAATTTTTCGCATTTTTGATATCATATTTTTATCAAATTTACGCCATCACGTTCTATATTCGCTCTTAGTCATAGGTATAACTAAATAACTTAGTCATTTATATATAAATATATGCCAACACCCGGGATATGAGTGTCAAGGGACTCTCTGTCTATCGATTGTGTTAGTTTTTGCCATACCTCAGGTGTCTGTTCTAGCTCTACCAGTAATGATTCTCCACGTAATACATAATCAATATCAGTATAATATCAACACAAATACACGAACATTACTTATATTACTACAAATATGTGTATTTACATATATCTATATCAAAATATCAGTTATTTACACACACAAACTGGAGTTTACTCCATCATCAGATATATGTTTGTCAACTTTTAAACAAACGCCGTTTCCTGAATAATTCAAATAATTGATTTACACCAGATTTCAATTTCAAGAAATACAAATATAGATGTAAATTTCTTGGTAAAATCCCAGTCATTCCAAACAGAAGGGTCTCAACCATAGTCAAACTATACTGTGACTCTGTCTTCTGTGCAATTTCAATACACTGGTATCATTTCTAGTGTTTTTAGTTTAAAGTCTTATTTTTTTATTAAAAATATAAGTATTCGTTTAAAGAAATTGAAACGATATGAAGATCTGAATATCGGAAGCTATTGATGAAGTCATATGCGTTTGAAGTGCACGTATTTGTGTTTCATGTTTTTTAGTGCAAGTAGAGGTTTTCATCCGATAGAAATTAATTGAACGCATGTTACACGGAAAATTGTAGATGTGGAATCGGATTTTAAAAAAGACTGATGAAAGCGCTAGACGAAGCCAGCTACATAATGAGTTTAGAAGATATTTACCTCTGTCCTTTGTACCTCTGAAAATATATATCCGTTTTGACTTCACACAAACGTCCATTTTGAATCAGATGGAATTATGCCTTTCATACTAACGGAAAAGACCGGAGTTTGGCGGAAGTGTTGTTCACGATAGAATCAGATCACAACATTCAGCACGCTATCACAGAATGATGACACGCACCTATAGAAATTCGTCGTTTTTGTGAAATAGTCTAAATATTTTTTTAATGTGTTATTTTCTGTATGATTTTTGTGTAAAGTGTAAGCATGCCGAAGTTTAAGGTTTGAAGTCTGAAGATTTTACAAACAAATTTAAACCAGTTTCAAGTGTCGCTTTTAAAATGTGTGGACGGTACAGATCAATTTTTGTTAGATTTAGAATAAGGAACAAACTTTGTAACAGTACTGTATATTAAACAGGTTGTACAATGGCTGTCTACTGATTACTTGGTTTAAAATGTATTTTACAAACATCTTGGACCATGTATCTTTTTTTCAAACATTTGAAATTGTACCTGTCAGCAAACTAATTGTAAAATGTCATGAATTTTTCGCTTGTTGGTTCTAGAGAAGTCGTTTCATAGTTTTGACTCAAGGTAAATACCTTTTCATAATCATTTTAGCACTTGGTGCCACAAATCGTCTAGCCTAAATATTTTTAATTTCAGATCCATTTGCTTATCAGAACTCATTTCAGCGTCAGCAAATCTGACCTATTAGACCATGAAGATGGGTAAGTTTTCTCCCCGAAAACTGTACATTAAGTGCCAAAAATGTGAGTCCAGGCCTTTCGGTTTACCAGAATAAGTCGGTGAAGTCAATAAAAGAATTTGAGCCCTGAGACATTTATTATGTGGCAAGGTATTTTTTTACGAACACTGATAACACATAGCGCCTTATAAATACTGGATTCCATGGCCAGTTATACAGAAAGTCAGCTGTAAGTGGTTTAACATAAGGCATATGACATTGAAAATCGGTCAGCAAATCGCATGGTACAGTGTGGTTATCTTGCTAAATAAAAAGTTGTTTTTCATCGTTAATGCTATTTCAAACAATAAATGTTATAATGCCACGAAATTCAATAAGCTAAATTTTATAGTTAAAAAAAAACAGAAAAAGCAATTGCGTCTTAACACTGATTATATTTACACTAAAATTTGAATCGTTGATTAGAAGCAAGGTTTACCACCCCGGAGAATACAGTTGCTCAGATAGTTCTCAGGTATCACATCTCCAAAGCGAGATGGTTCCATTCTCAATAAACAGAATTCCTCTTCACCCTTAGCATATGCCAAGACGAATTCAAAGCTCTGCGCTTGAAACACTGCGGTTGATTCAGACTGACTTGTGTAGAACACGTTAAGAAATCTCTTGATCTCTTTGATGAAAAGTAAAAGGAATCGATGACAACACATCACTGAGATTTATCAGCTTTCATTTGGCTGTAATTTCTAAGTAACCATAAAAGGACTTGTGATTGGTTCAGTTCCATAAACTGTATGTGTGGAACCAATCAAGGGGTCTTCGAATTCGTCAAGACATATTGCCTTTTTGTACAATGGTGAGATGAACCCATTTCGAGAATGGAATCTTGAATTTGGAAGATAGCATCAATGAAATATTACGATAACATCTAGGGAATACAAAAATATGATGGAATAACCTTACGACGGGAAAAGCTACAATGGAAAATAGGATAAAATTATGAAGGCTGATAAATACCGTTAGCGAACATATTGTAAACGTACAAGAATATCTAAGCGTATTATATCATGTTTTGGTGAATTTGCACAGTGAATAATTGGAGTGTCCTAAACAACTGCTGTAGAGGCAATTAACTCGGTGATTTGTACAATCATATTTAACCGCAATACCTTCAACGCAAAGGGGGCTAAAATATGATAAGAGCTAAACCATGTGCGTTTACAGTAGTGTCTCCGTTATGACAAAATTTTATATTACTGACTTTGTTCTGAATATAAAAAATATGACTCTTTGGTTAAGATTTCATTATCATATGCTCAGCATCAGATGGGGTTTGATTAATTTGCCCTTGTGTGCTGATGTTTTATTTTGTCGTTTTGTTTAGCCTCTTTGATATGTCGTTTCGTCTGATGCGCTACAATATGTCCCGAATTTCTGTTGTTGTCCCTGTGTGTAGACAAAGTGATAACAAGTGCAGTATATTCTATAATCCTTTTGCATACACGTACCTTATAGCAATCACTGAGTCATACAAAATGCGTCCCGCTTTCTGATTCATAGATTCACACCTTGGAATGGCTGATCAGTGTGTCTCTTAACGTTAAACTTTTGGCATTTGAATACCACATATTATTATATAAAAAATGTTTTAATATTTCGTTTTACAATATGATAACTTATTGTATGTTTAGAAAGGACCTCACGGCATGACGTTATTTACTTCCTGTTTCTATTACCAATTTTGTACCGATATACCCTTTTTTGATATGGCGGTCAACCATTCTACTTCTAAAATATTTTCACATGAAAAATTATATACATGTAAAAAGATATACGAGAACATTGCGAATTCCAATGTAGAAACTACTCCGGAAAATAAACTCCGTCTCCTCGTCGATATTTACAACATCCCAACAAAAAGTCGTTTCTACAAAAAGGACATGTGTCCTAATGATATAGCCGATACAAGATACAAGAAGATTCATTTAGTGTTTACAACAGCTGAACAACAGATCAGTAATTCTACGATAACATACTAGTAATTCTCTAAGCATGCATACCAAAATGCACGCGAATGCTTTTGAACTCATGTGCAAGTCTCTAAGCTGTCTACAATTTGTTTTGTACAAACACTGATAAATGAACGACATTTAAAAAGAGAGAGAAAGTTATTCTTACCATCGATTCAATATTATACGGAATTTTCCCACCTCCAAGTGATTCGCCCGAGAACAATAAACCTTAATACATAACTATGATCAACGTAGAGCGAGCTAAGCACTCGTTTTCACGTCAATGGGGTGTATTATTCATGCACGCGAACCCACGCCGAGTGGCTGTAGTAAAATAAACGTGTATCGCAGCCATTGATATCAAGAGATACCTTATATGGTGTTCTGAAGCAACCACTCCTAAACATTGCACCAAAATATGACCTCCGATATAAGTTAATCAATGATCTCATTTGAGAACGTTACAAGATCGCTTCACAAGATAGTTCTATACAACTCAAGACACAGTTAAGTGTTTTAGCAAACTACAGATGTTAAGGAATATTATGTATTAACGTGACTGAAAGAAATAAAGATGATATCTGTCCAAAGGCGTATCTAGAATTGACATTTACGATTGTAACTTGTATAAGACAAACTCTGTATGAACCAGGTATATAGTTTGAGATGTGGGGATTGGCGAAAGTGGAAAAGGGGTGGACGAAAGGATGACGAAGAGTTTGGTGAGGGGGGATTGTTGTTGGAAGGAAGGATAATCATCAACGCACAGTTCACGTGAAGAAATAAATCGATGGACACTAATGAATAAAATAAAATGAATACTGAATAGATAAATACGACGCCATCTACATGAAACAATTTGGATGTCGTCAACCTGTCGCCGATTTTATTCACTTATACCGCTGCGATCTCAAATCATGCTTTGTCATATTGCCTTTACCGGTAGTAACATGTAAGTTGCTGGCTCCAGGCTCGAAACCGATGTTACAGTTCAACACAAGATTATAGCATAGAAAAAAGATAACAGTAACTGATTATAGGTAGCTTTTATAATGATTTTTCTATTC